CGGTTCAGCTCTTGGAATCCGTGCAAACTGAGTGTTGGTATACACGCGACAACAAAAGAATGCGGCAAAATGCGTTTTCGAAAAGTGCGCGAGTCCACGATCAAAAAAAATAAAAACAGAATGTAAAAGGATGCTAATGCGATAACAGCTTATGTCACGTGCGTGTAAATTCATGACCTTACGCTTTTTGTAATTCGCGTGCTAATAAAATTATCATATTATAGTGATAGCTTTTATTCTTGTATGTAAGATATGTACACTTATATCTTTTCTAGCTCGCAATACGTAACTGAATACGGCGAGACAGCAAGCGATGGATTACAGTAAAGGGGAAAGAAGGAATGTCATAAGTCGGCGGCATATGCTTCTTGAGCCAATGCATGTGTAATGCAAGTCAGTCGAATCGCAAGCATTACGCAGCAACTCTCGAACGAAATGGTTCTAATGGATTGACCGACTGACTTGCGTTTTTCGTTTGAAACCTTCTGCGAGTCATTTGAAATCCCATGTAAAAGCTGATGAGTTTAAAGCGCTGTGCGTGTCAGAGTTAAATGCATTCCGCTGACAAGCCATACGCTCCTTCCTTCGTAAAACGCATTGTTATGTAGCATACAACTTGAATTATTATGAATTTCTGCTATGAGTATCGTAATTATTATTTCCATCGTGAAGTTTTATAAATGTCGACGCAATTTTCAATTAATTATTACATTACATTAATGTGACGTCGCGAGCACGCTTCTGATATATTTCGTTAATATTATGATCAATCTCGCGACAATTGCTAATATTATCCAATGTCCAAAGATACATAGGTAAAAAAAAAACGAAAAATTATGGTTTAGATCTTAGAGATAATTATATTGGAATTTCACGTCTCGTAAACGTTTAGTTTGCCATTCTCCCGGTTCTAAGTCCTTTGATATCAAAGCTGCTGATTGGCCACAAATGCAAGATCAGAGTCCGAACGTCGGTAGGGTCGGCATGTGGATCAACCGTGGGTGTCCTATGCGGTCAGCTCGTTAATCGGTATAAACTGTACATCGATTGAGTGATCTCCATCTGCTTATATAGGAAACGCGATTGACTAATATCCTTTGATAGAGGATTCCTCAATGTAACATCTAATCGTATTTAATCATATTCTGGTGCAAATTGTTAAATTCGCAACCCTATACATCAAGGAATTGATTTTACTCTTTTCTTCGTAACGGTAACGCATCAATCAACCGTAGACATAAAATCGATACTGAATATATTTTTTCCAGCGCGTTTAAAGCGTGGCAAACAAAATTAGTTATTTGTTACAAAATATTTAGTTTATACGTCATGTATATATATTAGATTAGATTAGATTAAGTTATTGTATATGTGTGCTAACGTGTTCAGAT